TCCCTCTGTAGGCGCAGGCGTCCTGTGGCTGGCCACAGTGACAGGCAAATCCGAAACCGGATGCCACCAACCATGTGTGTATGTGTGCCCCATGCTGAGGCTGATGTTGCATTCTTGACGCTTCTTCACCGCAGTTGGGCTAAACCAACTTACACTTAAACTAGGTCTTTTTAAGCTGGCTAAATTTCATTCCACTTTACTTGGCTTGTTCTGTCTACCTGAATACTCTTCTATTAACTGGCCATGTTGCTTACATTATTTGGGCTTATGTTCGGTAACTTTGTTGCTTTTGTAGCATTTTTAATTAACTTGCGGACATTTTTTCCTTATCGCGTATTCGTTGCTAACCAACTTACTTCATATGCTAATTTAGCAAAGTGTTATGCCACCGTATCTGTATGCATTATTGGATTTGTTTTATTTCATCTTGTCGTTCCAGGTGATTGGCTGTTGCTTGATATCCCCGGTGTGGCTGCGCTTGATGTGCATGTTGACAAGGTGCCTACCTGTCTATTACCCACTACCTCGTCCATACTGGCTCCAGGAGACAGTTGGTCGTTGCTGGAGGGGACGGGGTGCACGGTCCTTGTGGCCGTGCTAGGCTCGAAGAGTGGTTCCATGCACTCAGTGTGGAGCGGACTACGGCCCAGCCACCGCCTTGTGTGTGCGCTTGATTTCCCAAATACAGCGTGTTTGTGTTTGCCTGTGAAGGAGTGTGGGCCGGCTCCGTTGATGAAACGTGGCTCCCATCCACATGCCTCCCGGTCTTATTCCTTCGGGTTTACACTGGATATGGGGTGTGTGGTTGGAGCTGTGGGTGGTGCAGCGCAAGCCACCCGTGGTCCCTCTGTAGGCGCAGGCTTCTTGTGGCTGGCCACAGTGACAGGCAAATCCGAAACCGGATGCCGCCAACCATAATGTTGTCGGTTGCAAAATGTACAAGTTAAAAGTAGCAGAATCGACATGAAACACAAGTACAACCTTGGTAGAAGAAACTGGAGAGGTTTTACTGCCTTGATGCATACACGTGATCGGAACGATTTCTCCCTGTTTTTCACCCAAAAGCGCCGTTTAAAGCAATTTAGAAAAATATGAATAACTACACTGAAATGAACTGATCTCGAAAGGACTTACATGGCCAGGAAAACAGTAACAAACGAAAAATCAAGACTCTTTACAATGGTTTACATTACTAGTCAAGCCACACAATCTGTTAACAAAATATCTAAGTCTAAGGCACTTGCTTATCAAGAATTAGGAAACTGATTTATCGAATAGCAGTATTCCACTGCTTGGGATAACACGATTGCTAAAGTAGCAATCGAAGTGAACAAAGCCTGCAATTACATTTTATCATATATAAAGCAGTTCTTAGTGGTGTCTCTGTAGCTGTTACAGAAGGACTTAAATTATTTTGCCAGTGCTTTTACCACTAGCAACGGAACACAATGGATTCACCCCCTTTCTCTTCAACAAAATTCTCGACAGGAGTCTTGCTAAATGCCAGCTTGTCACGATCAAAAGTAAATTTCTCTTAGGCTTAGATGAAATCCTGTTATTTCTTCCAAAGACGGTAGAGATAATATCCCACTTGTTACTACCATTGTTCACTACCTCAATAATATCTGGGTTTTATCCAATTAAACAAAAACTGACAAATATGACACCCCAAAAAGATCAAAAACTATCTGCCTATAAACCACTCCGTGTCAATTTCCAGAACTATGGAGCTTCCATTGGAAATGAAATTGTTAATTTGTTAGCAGAAAACAATCTTCTATCGCTTTTACGATACGAATGCATCCAACATCATGTAATCGCCACTTGTTTACCAGATTTGTTTGATCAATTAACGAAATTGATAGGTTCTGGTAAGGCCTATGTTGTAGCTAACGTTAACTTTCAAATGGCTCGAAATATTTTCACACAAAATGTTTACACATGAAAATTGTAATAATGGCATTGTAATCCGAATACTATCTTGGATAGCAACGTATCTCACTGGTCTGAAGCGGACAGTTAAGAGTATTTATTAGAGACGAGATGTTACTAGCGGCTTGCTACTAGGTAGTGCTCTCGGCACTTAAAATTTCTGCTTTATGTAAATGGTATTTTCCCTTTAATAAAAATTAGTAGACCTTTCCTATTGTAGGTGGTGTGATATATTGTACCTCAGCGGCCTCAAAATTTGTCTCCTACATCTAAGCTACCCAGCGTGACTTAGCTTCACCGCAAGACCGGTATGTCGGATCTTTGGTGTACTTTTTAATGCCTAAGTGCAGCCCCACGTGTAATGGATCCAGAGATCCACCGGGATGTTTGCACCCTCATGCAATTTTCCCTCCCTTTATGCAACTCTATACGTGACTAAGATTTTCATTACTCTATTTGGTTGAAGCTCAAGGAATGAATGGGATACACGGTGGCTAAAACACAACAACTTTTGTATTGATTAACTTCTGTTTATAACAAGTGAAACTAAACCCATGTTATTCAAGCCGTATGCCAGACCATTAGCAGAATAATATTCCAGCACCTTCAGTAATATTAGAAAATGCGATAAGCATGCATACTCTAAGCAATACAGAGCTCGCTTATTAAAATACTTGTGTGTGGCGCTTCAATCCTCTTTTACAAAGCTAGATACCAGCTGTTAATTATCGAACCATCATGGGTCCAAATACTGAAAACAAATCCGTGTCTCTTTTATAGTATGTTGCAGTGACGAATACACACGAGTTGCCATCAGACAGCATTTCATGGATCTTCGACGTAAAACTTAAGAGACGGAACAGTATGCGAGTAAACTACCCGTTGTCCCGCATCCCTCAGATGGAGCATATTTACGCTTAAATATACTGAACTGTGGAACAGGCTATTTCAAACTGTCTGAAGTCCACTTTGGTTTGGGACAATTAGATGAAACTAAAAGCACTTACCTTTTAAATTATTAAAGGACTGTTTGGCGTTAATAGTACAGATTAATGTATGTCTGATAACATACCTGATGATATTAAACGCCCGGGAAACGCAATAAAACTTGCGGTTAACGATGGCAAGAAAAAATTTGTTTAACACGCTGCAGCGGGTGTGCATTTTGGTCTGCAGTTCTAAACATTTTGTTGTTGGTAGGTAAATTAGGCTCATCTCCCATCTTGCCGCATCCTTTACTCTCACGTTGTCTGAAAGCACACCGGTGGAATATGAAATACATGTGTACAGTAATGGGTTGGACAACATGACATTTGGCCCCCTCTGCAGCCTCATCTTGTACCCAGTTATATATCCATCCCGAATAGATGCAGAATGTGAATCTGCTGGTAGTTTAAACATTTGATGTTTCTTCACCAAACCATCTTGCTTATGTAGCAGCTCCAATTTCTATGTCTTTATATCTCGCCATCTGTTTGTAGCATGTCGTTTCTCTTAACTAACTCAAACTATTCATAACAGGGACAGTTCTAAGGTTTTATACTTCTCACATAAAAGTCAACTTATTCTACACCATAATTAGACTGTTAAAACTACTGTAGTATGCCAATTCTATAAATTGTTTGTAATAACGAATTACATGTGCAAGTTGCTGTTACTCCACCATTTAAGGTTGTATTTATCACTGTTTTTTACAATATTTAGCCTAAACGAAACTGAACTCTTCATGGTTTTCTTCGTTCCCATTGCTTTGCTGGACCGAACCGATCGGAGAAACAAACCGTGGTAAAGGATTTGAATCTAGTCTTGCATAACAATCTTTGTGATATCAGTTTGGAGTTTCTCTGTATTTTAGGATAAGGTAGGCTTCTATAGGTATTGCACCTACTCGCTGAAAATATATTTAATTATTATATTATTATTACTATTATTACTAGTACCATTGTTGCTATATCATAGCAGTTCACTTTTTCCAGGGTGGCAAACTCAATGTCTGCTTTCATCTCCCATTTCCCGGTACTCCCCGGCACAGTGGGTCGAAGTCATGACCTGAATCTATTACGAACGACATGCTTCTACTTTGCTATCTCTTTTCATCTGCGAAGATCAGTCTAAGCGAAGGCTAGTAATATAACACATAATGTCTTACCTTTTTTCATTGACAACTCTCACAGTGGGAAGTGAGTTATAGCTTGTCAACAGTGAGAACACCGGGGGTGCGAAATGAAGAAGTGGAGTGGTGGCCAAGCGATGACTTGACCAAGAGGAATGAAGGCCATTACTTCGCAGTTTGTCTCAATTGGTACCTTTAGGCTCCCTGGTCGGGGTCCGAAAGATGAGGAACACGTTTGACTGCATGAACTTGTTGAGCTGGCAAGCAGCCGACTTCAGTGGCGTTTATGTTGTGAGTTTCTTTGTACCTCCTACTCCTGTTTCGCCTTCTTTCCAACCAAGGTCTCATTTCCTAAGCATAATATAACTCTTCTTTGTGGAAACATCGCCGGCTAGCAACTCTCTGTTACGATGCCCATTCGTTAATGGTGACTCAGCTGGCGTGCCGCTGTTACAGATCTTTTTTCTACTTTTTGGTTTATTGTGGCCCAATAGTTGGGGTGTTTTCCACCTCTAGCTAACTTGTAGAATTAGAATAACTGGAAGCCTTCGAATACATGTAGCCATCTTGAACTGTAAAAGACTCTCCTTTGATTAAAATCGATGGCCTTCGTTGCAACCCTGAACGAGATTAGAGACTCACCAGTCTAAGGTAATCCGGTGGGTAAGACGGCTGTCCTATTTTACCAACCGGTTAGGGGAAGTGGTGCAAGCGAAGGTATAAGTGAAGTACTGTACCATTTCACTCTCCTTCAAACTGTGTTCTTATCCATGGCTGAATAAATTCGTCTAACAAGAGTTCGTACAAAAATATCGAGATGCATTTTTATCGACTGCATCACAGATGTATACAGGTGTACATACGCGACACGTAAGTTAACAGACGACAAACGCCGGCAGCTTTAATGTGGATGAACGCGACAAGAGAACAGGCAGTGAAAAATAGCATCACTCACGCGGCGTTTTTCAATTGCATATACTCGAAGCAACTTTTTAGAACGAAGTCACATCCCATATCCTTGCCCCACTTCCAAGGTTGAGCCACTGACATATTCACATTGTACCAACTGCAAGGTAAGAAAGAACACATTAGCCCCTTATTAACATGCAAAGTTTGAGTGGTAATATTTCGCAAATTTGGCTGTTACCATCCGGTAGTTGATTTTAGCTGCACCGTGTTTTCTTCAACTATTTCTAGACAATAACTGATGTTCCTACGAAAAGTGTCCATTACTCAACAAAAGAATTGGCATTCTCTATGGAAAAATGTCACCGGAAATATTGATGGATACGAGAAAGATCAAGTCCCAAAACACGGTAGCACTAGACTAGGCGTATTTCGGGCTGATACAACCAATAAACACTGCACACGATCGTTCTGCTTATGAAAACCAACCAACTGAAGTTGTATAGCGGATGTTCACCACAATGTCCATTTCTTTACACGTCTGGATTATGCATAAAACCTTACATGCGCGTCGTGTAATGGCATTGATGAAGAGAGCACTAATTTGGTGCCACTGATCCGGCTTGTGTCGACATTTGTAATATTTATTTTGAAACTCATATTTTATCGAAAAAACCGTGGCCTCAATACGGGACATGGTTTGCTCAGCGTCAAAAGATAGATACTTTGTTAAACAATTCTTTGGTTGACTACATATATGCTAGAGTGCACGCATTTCTCTCACGGCACCAATGGAATATTGCCTTACATTAAGTGACTGAAGGTAGTACTGCTTGAGGTGGCATAAAGTGGTAGTTTGGCTTTTATCGTCCCATTGTGGATTCGGTGAAAGTTCCTGATGACATACCATGTTCAGTTTAGTTTTACGTTTCGCAAACGACTTTGGATACATTGCATCTTAAGCAGAAAATCAGCAATTTGCTAGCAAGAAATGTGGTGCAAGGCGAATAGACCATGTCCAGACTTCGTTGTAGTCATGCTAACGCAAACGAATTGTGTAAGCAGCGGGTGCCAATGCAAACCCTTCGCTTTATCCTGAACCTCGACCACCTTGATCAAAGACGGTGACTAAGTTTCTCCCTCTCTTCACTTTGACATTCGCGTAGTTCGTGTGCCTGTGCTTTCACGCATGAACTTGTGTATCTGGGTGACTATTGGAAAGGCAGACTCCAAAATTGCGTATCTAGCATGGCTTAAACATATGTCACCCATCATTGGAGGTTTCGTTGTGTAGCACTAGTTTTGTGGATGGATTGTGATGCACCATCTTATAGTGGACCGCGATTCCCATCGAAGTGAAATTTGACCAGTTCGCTCACTGGGACTGTAGCTGATATTGTGGATAGGCGGTGATCCAGTAATCCCGTGTCACTCTATGGGCTTCGCGTATTTTCAGTAGGTGTGTGGACGAACCTACGCGGTTGCTGGACTATTGGAACAGTGTAGGCTATCATGACTTCATCAAACCCAGTCCAGCTTTACTGGCCTACTGCTGAGGTCAGTTATCAAGAACAGCAGACTAAGACGAGTAGACGATGTTCCGGCCACATTGTGTTCACCCGAGTGCAACAGAACTGTGCAATAGGTGAGCGGTTGTCGTTTATCGCTCGTCTTGGTCGTTTCTTGCAGCACATGGCCAACAAAGCGACACTAAGCTTGGCGAAGTCGTGATACACCGTTCCAACCGACAGGCAGCTGCATAGTTTCGCACCCACATTCACACAAAACACACGAAGCCCGATAGAGGAACAAGGGAATCTAGATCACTGGCTTTGGTAGAGGTGAAGAACGCGCATGGTCACAAGGAGGACTCCTAAACCGTCCATTACTTGCACAATTCTGTTGCATTCGCGTACAAAATGGTTTGCAAAACGCCCAATTTAATGAGAAAATGATATATATGTGAATGTAATCTCCCATTGTAGACGTCGAACAAGAAAGCATTACCTGCGGCCAGCACAAAGTATTCGCTTCAGTCCTGTACAGCTAAATAAATATTATTTGGGTCCCGAAGTGAGGTGGCTCCAGTTGTCAGAATAACAGTAACAAGGGCGAGAAAACGAAAATACATTGGAATAAAGGATAAGAGTTTTCAGCTGATTGGAATATAAAGAAGACTAATAACTCGATACAAAAAGCCGAAAGCAGAACTGTCAATGACTGCGCGAATGCGCATTGCGTGGTACCGTCTCTGACCAATGGTGGCGACCATACTGGGACACTTATGCCACGTCATCGACTGCCCACCACACGCTTTCGCAAAAACTTGGTGCAGTGACGGCGTGTAATGCACGCCGTGGAAGCAGATGGACTGGCATACGGATGACATGACCTAACCAACGACGCATTGGGCTGTAGAAACACTTGACTAAAGCACCAGAAAGTGTCACGGAACTCGGTCCTTCATGGACAAACAGTTTATTCGGCAAAGCGAGCTCATCAAAAATGACAGTCTGACAAGCATTTAGGAACCTACGTATCAATAACTAAGTCAGTTCTATAACTAACGAGGCTGAAGTACTCATGAGATTCTTCCTATGAATTAGTTAAACAAATCCCTCTCCGGCAAGCCAATCAGCGCGTAGTTGAAATATGCGTAGGCGTCCAATCAACTGTTCTGTTCGATTTCAGCACGCTAGCCGCTTGTTTGCATAATTCTATCACATCCTTCTCTTTTTCGGAAGCAGCTGCATCGGTGTGGTAGAATACTCCACACGCTCTTCCGCACTGGGTTGGTTTTTCTGCTTCTATCGTTTTGACTTCTCTGTAAAGTGTAAAGTGTGTTGCGGCTGTTTCGCCTTCTTGTTCCTGGTGTCGCCTCAGCTGCACTCTGTTCATTCTGACTACCTTCGCTTCAGTACTGACTTCAATAAATCTTTCTCCAACCTTCGCGATCACCACATCTTTCTTCCATCGTTCGCAGGCACCTGGTATTGATTGGATCCACACTACATCAGTTACCGATAACTCCGGTAGCACCCGGGTCCCGCGGTCGTAATGCCATTTCAGACCTGCTATCCGTTTGCTTAAGCCCCTTCGCAGTTGTTCAGGCGATGGCGAGACAGGGTGTAAGCGTTCAGCAGACGCAGACAATAGGGTTCTTGTCTTTTTGCTGTATTAAATTTGCTCTGGACTGAAACTGATGTTCGGGAATGCCGTATTGCAAACCGCCAACAACATTTGATACGGGTCCTTGTGAGTGGCTCTGGTTTTCGACAACAGCCTCTTTGGCTTGTTTGACCGCTACCTCTGCTTTTCCGCTAGACTGACTATGATACGGGCTAGATTGTCGATAAGAAAATTTGCACTTGCTCGCGAAGGCTCGGAACGCAGCACATGTAAATTGTGGGCCAATGTCGCAGATCAATTCTTCCGGTATCCCGTGTCTGGTAAACTGACATCTATGCTTGTTGATGATTGCTTCCCTGGTGGTAGTGGTGAGTGGGTCGACCTAAAAATAGTCACGGTAACAGTCTAGTATGATTAAATTTTCTTTACTTTATTCACATAAGAAGTCTCCCGCTACTTTCTGTCAAGGTCTATCTGGAACTGCATGCAACATCATTGGTTCCTTGGCTTGGCGACAGTCGTGGGACCGGCAGGCTGAACAGTTTGATACATGGTCTCGGACATGATTGTCATCCCGGGCCAGAACCTCAGTCCGCACGCTCTACTAATACTTTAGTTGACACCCAAGTCAGTTCGATGTGCTTGTTCTATCTTTACATTGCGAAGCGACGGTGGGATCGAAATAAAATTTCCTTTAGATAGCAAACCTTCATACACTGTTAATGCAGCCCAAAAATTGTACAACGGCGTCAATTTCTTCGGAAGTTTATCCCTTGTAGCTGGTCATCCCCTCAAAGCACCTCGCGCAACGCCACGCACATCAAGTCAGCCGCCATATGACACCTTGGTAATATGGGTAGTAACTTTCGCAGTGATGTGGTCACCGGACATGACGCATCTCCCACGTTAAGTGAACTGATCCGCCACCGGCAGCGGCTGTTCAGTAATGGCTAGAACCTTTGGTGTATCGATCCAGTCCAACTAAATGACAGACTGGACGGTTTTCACAGACGAACTTCGTTGATTTTAGCGTTTACAAAGCAACAACCGGTGTATTCAGATGCATTTGTTAATTTCATCAAAGTAGGCGTTATGTAGATGGCCGGAAACAAGGCTGGACACCCTCTTAATCCCTTGGGAAGTCGTCAATACTATGCGTCCTACCAGCCCATATGAGACTAGAGACCGTAGTCCAGTCTCTGCGATTTAGTGCTTAAAGTCTTCTAGACACAAAGCCGGTAACAACCGGCAAGACTGTCACCAGCGTTACTATAGCTTCGCTCACCCTCTATTAAGTCACGAGCCACTCCCATGAAATTGTGAATAACTCAGCTAATACCAATCAAGTTTCCTTATTACTTCCCTCTAATAAGTAAGCAGCCCAGAATATTTGTCACGTTGATTTGCTGCTTATATTTGGAACATCGCTATTTGGTGCTACCCCGTCAGCTGCACAGCGTTTACATTCAAGTGAGTAAAGATTGAGGTGCCGTTCATCACAAATCGTACCTTATCCATTTGCCTTAAGTTTGTAAACCGCTATTTGGGGTAACCCTGTCATCTGCACAATGTGTACGCGCAAGTCAGTGAAGGGGGTACTGTTCATCATAAATCGTACCTTATCCATTTCCGTCACCACATTTACCCTGTAGCCAAATCTTTCTGACCACTGATTTTGAGAGTATAGCCACGGATTATAGTCTTGAAAGGATAAATGGAAAGAGCACTGCAAACAATTACCCAAACGTCGAGACGTAGTTTAGTACTTTTGAGGATTAAAGCAGTCATCTGAATGAGTATAGTTGTGATGAAATCGACTGCATCATCAAGACTTCAAATTCGGCGGCGAAATTAACCTCAAGTAATTCATGTGAATAAGCCACTTTACATGTCACGTCCACATGGGACATGCTAGACAGTGTATGGGCAAGCATACCATTAGCAGTTCATCAGTGCATCGAGTGTGGTGAATAACTGTCACTCTTTCGAAAGGGAAAGTTTTATATGTTCTTCAATCGAAACAATGTACTGCACCATCATTTCCGCCCTCGTTT